TAATATGTGACTTATGTGATGTACTCGAATAAAAAAAAATGTAATATAAAATTGAAAAAAAATATGTGAGATATTCAACAACTGCGATAATGACTTCATGACTCGAATTTAATGTGTGAAAAAGACTTAAAGAGTAAATAAATTCATAATAAAAATAAAATATTACAAGTGTTAATGTAATTTAAATATGGAAGTTAATAATAAAAAATATTTAATAGTAATATGTGATATTGAAGTAAATTAAGGGTTACCCATTTTGTAGTCCTGATATGACAAAAAAGTGTTAGTCATATGTATTAGATAGAACTGCCATCCAAAACTTGATTTGCTCAATAAGAAGTTTGCCATTTTATAATGTGAATCGCTTAACAACCACTGAATGTCGTTTATTTTTAAAACTTACTATACAAATTGTGATTGTGTAGTAGGAACGATCCGTGCATTATAAAAAGACCATATTCAAAAAAATCATCCATTTTACCGCATTATAAGTAAAACTCTGCTGAAATTTGAAGACACTGGATCTTTAATGAATGCGCTATGGTCCAGACCAAAGTAAAATGTACACTCAGCTGAAAATATTTCTATCGTTAGTGAAAGTATTCAAGACCATTTGCTTACATAGTATTTGATCCCATCCCATGAAATATTTGACCATATTTTAAGTATAGATTTGTGTCTCATTCTTATGAAACTCAGTTAATACTCGAACTGAATTTGGCTATATTACGTTGAACATACGCTGAATGGTCCACAAATTATTTTGTGGAAGCAAAATTTTTATGGCATTTGATCTACAGATATGATAGGCCCATATTTTTTAAACGTGACGAATATGCGACACAAACTATAGAGTTTTACCCAATCTTTTCGCAATAAATTGAAAATATGGAAGGGCATGAAATTTCACTTTTTTGGTAATATGAATTGACAATCTAGACTCTGCAGTTTGTAACCACTATATAGTTTTTATGGGGTTAGGCGTGTGATCGTGTTTATACAGACAATTTTTAAACTCTTTACGCTTTTGGAAAAAACATTTGCTAAGTTATGGGAAAGCTATTGTCACCTATGTGCCGAGAAGTCTTAAAAATAACCACAATAGAGGTTTAATTATGTGAACTAAACTATAAATCCTGTTGACACATCTATTATATTCAAAACTATGTCGTTAGGTTGATTTCTAAAATATAGTTCTATAGGTTACTTTCTTCAATCTGCAAATTTTTAATTTCATTCTAGCCGTACATATTGTTTTTTCTTTTTTTGTACGGAGAGGAGATTTAGAAATGCCTTACCCTCATCACTACTTCGCCGCGATAGTGGTATGTTATACTCAATTTGCACGGACTAAAAACGATCATCCAGGTATGCCAGACCGTTTCTACCCTAGAACTTTATCATGAATACTTCAAACATATTACTAACATGGTGAACCATGTTGGTTATCCATTAATAATTTTTTTCGTTAGCCTATGTCAAAACCTCACTTATGTTTATTTGTTTACCTGTTCCAGATCATATTTTTCCATTTAAGCATGATCGTGATGATTCAGTCTATGGCTTTCTAGTTTTCTTTAGATAGCATCATCCTCGTTGTGATATTTTAACGTTTAATTCAGAAACTATTATTTCAATTGAAATGGATGCGGTGTTTTATCTGTTGCATCTAAAGATAGTATGTTTAGCGTTGTATTAGTTTGCATCTGGATCATTTGCTCTACCAATTAGAAAATTTTGTATTTTTTTCTATTTGTATTTATTGCTATTTTTGAAAATATCTATGACCAGAAAAGAACCAGATTAGATAATAATTTACTTCAGTATATCTCTCTGATTCGCCACGTCTAGAATCAATCTTGCTGTCCATTTTTCTCTTATTTTTGCGCTCCATCTTTGTTGTTGGATCTATCATTTTACCTTTAGATCATTGAACTTAGTGATTAAGAGTTGCTGCTTCATTTGCTTTATATCATTTTTCTTTCTTAGGTTGCTAAATCTATAGTTGAGGTGCTCTTGATGATCAACATCGCGACCTCAGATACCAGAGGATATGCTAAGGCAACTTTTAGAGTTCAGAACTCTTAGAGTTGAGCTCATCTAGTTTTTTATGTAGTTTTTTATGTAGTTTTTTTATATACAATAGTACATAGCATAGTACCCTAACTAATTGTTATATGTCAGCAAATCCCATACAACTGATATTATTTTAAGACATTTTAATAAAATGAGATACGCTAGGGTTATGCAAACATTAGCACTTTTATTCGGGGACAGCTAATTCCCATTGTTTTGCCATTAAAGTTGCTAAAGTGATGTTAACTACACTAACCATTGTTTCCAATATAAGTCCTTGTGAAGTCATTTGGCTTATCAAGGTTAAAGAGATTTGATAAGTCTACTTGCGTTATCTGTGCTAGATTAGTAAAGCAATGGTATCCTAAGCATTATCGCCGTTTCGTCTGTAGTACCGTGCAAATATGTAGAATCTGTTTCATAAAAGGAAAGTAAGAGACTTCATGACGTAGTTGATTTACATTTGTATTTAAAATTATTTTGTATAATAATTTTATTATGTTCAAATGAACGCAAGACTAGAGTAAACATTACAATTGTTTATATCTTCCACAATACAAAACTTGAATATTAAGTAAATTTTGCATTCAATGCAATTTATTTAAATAAATGCAACGAATGGTTAAGGAAAATCCAGTCTTGATTCAAAATTCCTACAAATTTTAAGACGTTCATTGAACATTAGTTCAACATCCGAAGATGGTTCAACTAAACCACTCTTACCTTCGTATTCAGAAGATGAGTCAAAACCACAATAATAAGTGCAATTATAAAATAATTAAATTTAATTATTGTTTTGTTTAATTGCTAAAAAAGTTTAAATGTAGGCACTTCCCTATTATTACTGGTGCATTTGCATAATTACAATGTACGTCTTCAAAAGGTTTTCTTTTTTTTTTAAATCCTACATGCATTAACACTTTTCCCCGCAAATTGATATATTTTAACATACATATGTCCACTTTTTAGTAATTAAGATAAATATTTTTGTAAAGAAATTAAATTTTAGCACTAATTAATTTTTATCAAATTATCTTATTAAGTAAAATATTGAATTTGAAGATCTTTTAAAAAGGAAAGTTAAAAAAAATAGTGTTTAAATAGGATGAAAAAAAAGTATTAATTAAAAAATTGAAAAATTTCCAAAATTAGATCTCAATTTCACTCTCAAATCTCAAAAGAATATGTGTTTTATTTCATACTTCAATAAACTGCAAATATTCTAAATGAGGTCCTGAGTCAAATCACTCCTATTCCGAAATATCTAAACATAATGTGTTTTAAATGCTACTCGAAAAAAATTATGAATGTTCAAAATAGGCGTATAGTCTTCTCATTTTAATTAGAAACTTTAAAACCATGTACCTACGTTTCAAATTCTTACAGAATAAATACCCCTAGTTTTTAAATATTCATCATCAAATTTCAGTTTTTCAATTCATTCTAGGTATGGACTCAATAATTTTTAGCAAATTTTATCTTCAGAAAGAATTTTCATCAAACATCAACAATTCCGCATATCCCAACAAAGAAATTACTTTCAAGTTTATCAGCAAACACATCTGATCCAACATAAGCAGACATCAGTGAAATACATGCAAAGCTTAAATCTCATTCATCGATTCACTAGATGGTCTAAATGGTCTATCTAATAAAGAAATCTGTGCTAATATTTTCAATAAGTCCTTTATCAGCTGATGGATTTTATACTTAATTGCCCCGAAATAAGTAACTACTGATTATGAGAGATCTTTTACAAGAATCTCACAAAGTCGTTAGGGGATGAGAATTCAGCGAGTGGTTTTAAGGAAACTTTGAAGACAAACCTATCAAAAACGATCCATGGTTTATACCATGGATCGTTTATTTGTGGAAACCTATTATTCCACAAATAAAGCGTGATTTCTTCATATATAATGATAGACTAAATTTTTGCTCTATTTGTTAAAAAGTTACTAGATAAGAATATAAACAATAAAACCGTTCTATTACTCATATTCGGTGATATCTATCAATCTAAAAATCTAACACTGGACCGATTTTAGATTCTGAACTTATTAAACAGTTATAAGATTAGAATTTTGTTTGTGATTTTCAAGAAATATGAAAAAGATCTATCAAAAATAATTAGTGGCATAATGTTACAAATACATTGACATTATGGCTTCTTTGAATTTAGCAATGAACTAATACCATATTTACCTTTAAATTTATTTAACAGTTATTAGTTCAGAGTTCAGCAAGTGTGCCTATACCAGGCCTATATCTTGTAATAAAACCCGAAATTCTGTAATTTGATTTACTCAGTTCCATTCTGCTTCCAAATTTTTTGGATTTCGCCTCACTATAAGGTTTTAAATACAGTTCTGCAAATTAGTGTTTGACAAATAATTACCGATAATTTACGGATATATACGTACATTTAATTCTGTGGGCATTCTGTGGGAATATTGACTTAAAATGTGCTGTACAATAATGAAGCCCACTAGCACATTTAGATTATTTAATGAGCTTATAATGAAAATTATATTATAATTGAATAGTCTGCAAACTCTAACAGGATTTAATATATTTTGTTTTTCGAATGGTTCAAGCATATCTTTATATTAACTGATTTCTTATACGATAAATAAAATCATTAAACTTTTGATGTCAACATACTAAACCAATTAACAATTCAATTTTATTAATTTACTTAATGATTTCGAAATATCTTTTTTTATTATTTAATTACTTTTAACAATTAAATAAAAATTAAAATAATACAAATACAACTAATTTAAATAATTTGCTTAATAGACTTTAAATTAATTAATCAATTAATTAATGATTGATTAAAAATTAATCAATCATTAAATAAAAATAAATGAGACATGTAACATTTCAATTAAGATAATTGTATATAAATCATTTTTCAGGTGTTTACACTACTCTTTCTGGTAATAATTATGGTGACTTTAACTGTTGGTTATCCATCCAAAGAAAAATATAAGTAAGTGTATTGAAAATTGGTATAAATAAATATATTTTTGTGTTCTGCTATAATAAATATCTCATAGAATTCGAATACATGTACCGATTAAACATCACACACACGTCCATACAAAAACTGTCATTAAAAAGGTTCCGCTACCGATACCAATTCCCGTGAAGGAACATCATGAACCAAAGAAACATCACTATGTAGAAGTAGACGATGAGTTCGAAGGCTATGAGTACCCGAAGAAGAAACATCGTAATAGACATCCTTTCATTTAGAAACGTAGAGTGTTTACTGTCTATCTCAGACCCAAGTTTCAGTACAAAATCAGTGCAATAAACCACAAGTTTCCAAATTGGGAGCTCATATGAAGACCAAATAAAACTAAAGAGGATTTTATTTGTAATTTATTTAAAAAAAATTAAATGAAACTTATATTATATTTTGATTGTATTTTATAATAAAAATATATATAAATAATAAATTTGTTATAGTAGCAACATGGCATGTCTTGATGCAATATATGTAGAAGAGTAATATTATAAATTATGCTATAAACTCACACGTGCAGTAAATAAATTGGAACATCATATAAACATTCATTAAATATTTTCTTTAACTCAGAAGACTGAACATAAACAGAAAACTTTTTTTTAAGATATATCTGTCAGATTTTCTTGTCTGTTTATATGTCTCTCAACCACTTGGAAAAATAATTTATTGAATCTGTTCTGGAGTAAATAGAAAGATTTAATATATGGGCTTTATAATCTACATATACATTCTATAGATAATTCCTACATTCTATTCACAAATAGATAAACTCTGACCAATTACAGTTAATGTTTCACTTATTAGATAAAAAATTATAATGGAAAGAAGCCTACATGTAGTATAATTTGGACCTCTATTTGTATTTATTCACATATCATTCGTAATTTAATACAAATATATGACAAAGTCTTAATATTTATTCATAAATAGCAAAGCCAACATAGACAAATTAAACTGGTTCTTTAACTTAACGGTCCGTTACACAAATCAAGAAGTGTATTATTATGCAGGTCTTTGAAAATGGACTTAATGGTGAATGAGTGCGAAGGACTTTTAGAGGTAGAAATGTGCATCGTTTGGAGGCCGAGCTGGTAGCTGACGACCATAGTTTTTGAGAAAAAAGTTCTTTTTAAGATTTTTGTTCTGTTGCAGGTAAGCGAAGACTATCGCATCCAAATAAATCATGAACTGTAGGAGCTTTACCACGACATTAATATAATTCAGCGATTAATAGTCAATGGATTAATAGTCCATGATGCTCCAGTGAAAAAGGTATTTAAAATGGTAATTAAAGAACAAACACAAAGAGATAGATTCGTTGATTTCGTTATTTTTATCAGCATTTCTCTGATAGTGATTTAGTTTAATTATTAGACATTTTCACTGATGTGAGTTCAGTTAATCTTGTTTTTATATGCTAGTTCTCATATGTTAGTACCCAATCATTCAGCGTCTTTGCATAGTCTGCTCTTTTTGAATGTTTATGACCTGTGGGTTTTGATTAGGAACTCCGTTATCTCCTGAACTCACCTGTTGCAGAATTTCACAAACTTTTGACAAGTGACAAATGCCAGATAATCTTCCGGCATTTTAGGAATATAAACTTTCTAATATTTTAGAATCAAGTGTCTTATATTAAGAATGTTTCGATCTAGAAATGTTATGAATGGGAATGATTGCTACAAACCAAGCGGCCTGAGTTATTAATCTAAGTGTTCTGAACTTAAATTGTCAAGGTATTTGGAGTTATTACATGTGTCCCAAAACTGTATTCCGGATGACCAAATCTTATAGCTTTATAGCTTTATTGAAAATAACTGTACTACGAAGGCCTTAATCGACTTGAATGTAAAAAATACTTTATTTTCATAACAAAATAAAATAAAGGTACTTGCAGTCTCAAAAAATTATTCAGGATTAATTAAATACAAGAAATATGTTAATTTAAATAGCACTGATGATAGGTATTCTAAAATAGCTGTATGGTCAGCCAAAAATTCCATTAATTAAAATATTAAAAAAAGAATTTTTGTTGTTGTAATTCACTACAACTTCACTAAAAAATTTTAAAATATAATTTATAAGCATAAAATAAATATTAATTAATTAAGAGGTTTTTTCGAACAGTAGTGAACTACAACAACAAAAATTTTATTTTTTATATTATATTAATTAATTGAATTTTTGGCTGACAGCTGTTTCGAGTATTGCCAAATACCCATCATCAGTGGTCTTGGAAATAATTATTGTATTTAATTATTCGTAAATAATTAATTAAGAAATTAATAATAATAATTTACAGCACTATATCTAAGTAATTTAAATTTTATTCAATGGCAATTAATAGATTTTTTTAAAGAAAATGTTTAGATTTTATCATTTTTTTTTCAAATTTATTTTACAAAAATCTTCAAATTTATTTAAAATAAAAATAAAAAATATTACGCTGAAATAAATTTCCTTAACTTTAACTTTAAAAGTTCAAACCCCAAATGTTAACTTACAACTGCTCTGCTTTCAACATTTGCAACCACAAAAAAAAAAAACAAAACATAAAGCAAAAATGTTATCTGCGTTAACAGAAAGCTTTTGATACCTTAACAGAAGCACTGAACATAATACATGACGTATGATTTACATTTCGAATATTAATGCACATCAAAGGAAAAACCAAAAAATCAAAAGCAAAAAGCAATAAAATAACCACATTTTAAAATGCCAAAAGGCAAAATGTACGGGCGGCTACACAGCTATCGCTCGTAAGCACGTGCTGATTTCTGCATGTAAACAATCTTCAAATGTAAACAATATACACGACGAGTACGAATATATCAAGCGCACAAACACAAACACTCTCACACACTCTGACACCCGCCGCACATTTTGTTTTTGCTTTCCACAAATGCGCGCTCAATGCTTTTCAAAGGCTTTCTTTGGTATATCTATTTTTGTTTTTCTTTTTCTTTTTCTATTTTATGCTTACCTTTCTGTTTGTTGCTCGTAGGAGGGGGGGTAGGTGAGGCGGGTGCTGGTATATTAGCCGAATTGATTACAGTAAATCAACAAAAAGATAAAAATATTTTATTGGGTGTATTAATTTTGTTGTTTTGCATAATTGGATCATAAATGTGGTGTGAAATCGAGAACAAGCCGATATTTGTTGTTGATTGTTGATTTTCAACAGCAAGCACACAAAAAAAAAACAAAAAAACCGTGCACGCTATGAACATTATTTAAACATTGGAATTTTTTCACAAAATATAATGTCAGTTTGTTTGTTTTAGTGGTACATATTCTTATATGAGAGTATATCTATGTGAATTCTTAGTTCAGTCTAGAAATTCGTCACATCTACGTTTTCTTACTCCAACTGTCGCTTTAAATGCCTTTATCACTGGAGCATCCACATCCATTCTGAAGACATGATCAATTCAGCGGAAAAGTTAGATGTTAATTTGCTGAGTTATATCAATCGGATGCGATGATCCTCGGCAACATGTACGGAACCAAAGATCTTCCGAAGAACTTTTCTCTCGAAATTCATCATTCTATAATATAATAGTTACTACGAACTACTGAGCCTATTTCTTCTCTTCTACTTCTTCTGGCTGACATAGTTCTTGTTTGTTACTGCAACACCATCCCACTCATCTCACAATCCATTCTCACTTCTGAATAATCGCTTCCCCACTTACAATACCAATAAATATCTACATGCTGGCTCATATATTCGTCTTATAACACAGGTATGTTAGCATAGATAGGTTGAGCGAATTATAGTTACTAAGAACTAATAATCCACATCCATTCTGAAGACATGATCAATTCAGCGGAAAAGTTAGATCTTAATATGCTGAGTTATATCAATCGGATACGATGATCCTCGGCAACATGTACGGTACCAAAGATCTTCTGAAGAACTTTTCTCTCGAAATTCATCATTCTATAATATAATAGTTACTACGAACTACTGAGCCTACTTTTTCTACTTCTGCTTCTTCTTTCTATCATCCCACTCATCTCATAATCCATTCTCACTCCTCATTCCTAAATATAATCCCTAAATATCCACATGCTGGTTCATATATTCGTCTTAAAATTCCATGTTCCAAGTCATGTTATCTGTTTTATAAATCCTTACGGGTTACAACAACAACAACAGCAATTGTAGTGACAAAGTCCACAAAATCATTAACGGCTTCGAAAATATATTCTCCTTCTACTAGCTCAACGTCCTAGCGACGCACATTGCTACAGAATTAAAAAATATTGTACCATTACGATGAACATCTACTCTGCGCATGATCATTCGTGTGACAAAATTGAATCGATCACATGCCTGTAGTATACATATACATATGCCTGTAGTCTTATTTTAGGAAACCCCAAACTGAAATTGTTTCTGATCCAAAACCTATACTTTTATAACCTAATACTTAAGAACCTATGCTTAACCTAATATTTTAAAGTGGTTGCTCTCTACTAAAAGTAAAGTATAATATGTTAGTAGTAATATTTTAAAGTAACACTTATTCGATACATAAAGTCCCCAATGAGTAAGGACCTAAGAGGTTTATGTGATGATATTTTGATGTATTGCCACGAAGGGTAAGCAATAACAGGTACTATTGGAATCATTCGGCAGCACAATGATCTTCATTAATCTAAATGTAATGAATTTTCTACTGTTAATGTTTAACAGTAGTGATAAATACATCTGGACTAACTATAATATTCCATTAAATCGAAATTGTAGTTAACGCCAATTACTTTTGTCGACAAATTGGTTGGTTAGTAGGTACACTTTAATAAATATGCTTCAAACGCTCATGGTTCGATATATAAATTCCAGCATTTAAAATTGATAGGATACACAAAATCGTAAGAAAATACTTTTTAGCCGAAAAATAACTTCCATCGCTATACTTCAGCTGTGTCAAAATCTCACTAGATGCATTAATCCATCAAAGCACAATTTTTATTAGTTGATATTTACAGCAAAAATAATTTTTTGCTGTAATTTCATTTCATTGTATTTCTGTCTAATCAGAAAATAGATTTAATTTGACGAGGTTTGACATCACTCTAGTACCTGTTAATGCTATATGCAGACATATCGCTTTAATTGGTACTGTTAACATTTTTACCTATGGTGTTGTCATGTAATTATATTAATATATAAGTTGAGGACACGGTTGGTTTTAAGCCCTCAGAACCTATTAACTATTCAAAGCACCTTCGGATTGCAAGAAGTCTATCTCAAATAAATCACGAATATTATACATGATATCTAAATGGCCTAATTCCCAAAAAATAAAATAAAATAATAA